ACCCACCTCATAAAACACCCCCCAAAATGGACGGGAGTGGGGTTAGCCAGTGGTGGTTTAGCCAATTTGCTGAACTGGTCAGAATTTTAACAACCGGTTTGTGTGAACTGGTGCGAACGGGCTGAATTCCACCTCTGCGTATGCCTTAGACCAGAAGTCACCAACCTTTTGGACCTCGGGGACCACCAAACACATACTTTTAAATCAGAGACCCTGGGAAAATCCCCCCAAAAGTATGCAGGAAAATTCCTCACCCCCGTTTTCCTACCAATCAATCGTTCTTTATTTGGGATCGCAGGACACCGTCTCCAGCTCCATTCTCTGGGGGAGAAAGAGAAGGAGAGACTTTTGGCTCCATGCAAGGAAAACAGCAGAAGCTGCAGAAGTCTTTCTCTCTCTCCCCCAAATTCCACCAGAAATGAGACTTTGCTCCGCAGCCTCTTGGGGCAGGAGGCCTTACAGGGTCCCAAAGACTCATTTCTGGCGGAGTTTGGGGGAGAGAAAGAAAGACTTCTGCTGCTTTCCTTGCGTGAAGCCAAAATCAGAAGAAGAAAGAAGCGGAAAGAAGCAGCCCGGTGGCCAGGCCAGGCGAGTGGGGCGAGTCCCCCGCCTGTCCGCCCTTTCCTCCCTCCCCTCCCTCCCTCGTGGTGTTCGCGATGCAAGCCTCGTGTTCCCGCAGGCCATGTGGGCGGCACAGCCTTGCGTTCCCAAGCAGCCTGGATTAATTGCTTGGCGGGACGGGGACATTTCTTTGCGGACCACCAACATTTTCTTGCGGACCACCAGTGCTCCCCGGCCCACTGGTTGGTGACCACTGCCTTAGAACAGAGATTCCCAAATTTTGGTTCCATGGATCGGCAGCCGGGGTTGGTGGGGGGGGGACAACGGTGGTGGAAGGAGGGTGGGGATGGTTCCACGCAGGTGCAAATGAAGCTTCGCACACTCACCAGCTGCGTGTGCGGCCCAGTTGCCAAGAAGCCGCAGACCAGTAGCGGTCCACGGACCGAGTGTTGGGGAAACCCTGCCTTAGATTTTAAAAATCATTACAACCAGGTTCCTGATTTTTGGTCAATGTTAACACAACGGTGCCTCCTATAATCTGTGTGGAATTGCACACACGTTTTGCCCGTGGGTTCACACTTGTGACAGTTGCAACGGCTTCCGTATTTGGGCTGCAGTTTTATATCTGTAAACAAAGTCCTCGTTTAATGACTGGAGGCATAGTGACGGTTCAAAGTTACGAGGGATCCCTCTCAGAAGGCACCTGGGATCTGATTTTGAAGTTACGAGGGCTGCAGACATTTCCACATGATCACATTTTGGGTGTTTGTTGCATCCTGTAATCGTGGCCGTGATTTTGAAAGCGTTTTTTGGGGGTTTTTTTTGGCTGGTTTCCGGCAATTATTTTCAGTCTCCAGCAAAAAAAAGACAGTTGGGTCTAGTGGTTAAGGCACCAGGCCGGAAAGCGTGAAATCTTGAGTTCAAGTCCTGCTCTAGGTATGAAAGTGACTTATATGAGTTTGGGCCAATCACACCAGGAGACTGTGAGTTCTTAGTCCTGCCTTAGGCATGAAAGCCAGCTGGGCGATTTGGGGCCAGTCATTCTCTCTCAGCTCAACCCACCTCGCAGGGTTGTTGTTGTGAGGAAAATAGGAGGAGAGAGAAGTCTGCTAGATGCGTTTGCCACCTCGAATTATTTTTAACAACAATAAAGGGAGGACATAAACAAAACCCTTTTGGATATAAGAATGAATGAATGCACGCATGCACAAATAAATAAATAAAATTAATAATTAAATTAAATAAATAAAACAAAGCACCTGTTGGATATAAGAAGGAATGAATGCATGCAGACATGAAAAAATAAATAAATAAAATAAGATAATAAATAAATAAAACAAAGCAAAACACCTGTTGGATATAAGAAGGAATGAATACATGCAGACATGAATAAATAAATAAAATAAGATAATAAATAAATAAAATAAAGCAAAACACCTGTTGGATATAAGAAGGAATGCATACCCACATGCATGAATAAATAAACAAATATATTAAATAAATAAAACAAAACAAAGCACCTGTTGGATATAAGAAGGAATGAATGTATGCATGAATGAATAAATAAAATTAAATAATAAAATAAAACACATGTTGGGTATAAGAATAAAATAAAACAAAACACCTGTTGGATATTAAAGTAAATAAAGAAACAAATATATAAACAAATAAAACAAAAGAAAACTCCCGTTGGGCTTAATGAGGCCATTTAAGGGCCACCCTATTTGCCTCGTGATGTGATCTTTGCTTAACACCCGCTGCCGAAAGGTCATAAAACCGGGTGTGGCGACCCACTTAACGACCAATCCACCACTTAACAACCGTCACCCAAAGCTCAGTGACCGGTCGTAACGTCGAGGGTCACCTGCAGAGACTGAAATGTTCACACTAGAAATTGGGAGCCCTGAGGGGGGGGGGGGAACGGGGGGGGGGGGGAACTGAGCAGGAAAAACAATGTTTGTAGCTTTTGCTTTGAACAGCGCAAAGCATGGGGGAATTGTCAGCCTGATGCAACGGAGTTGCAAACACACACACACACACACACACACACACACACAATATGTTGGTGTAAATGGGAGGAGAATTATGGAGACGACTAGGTCAGATGTAAAACCAGGATTAAAATACAGAGGCTGGTTCTAAAGTGGAAGAAATTTTTGAGATTTAAGTCACGGGGCTCTCTTCTCTGGTTCCGGAAAAATTAAAAAAACACCGTATTTAGGAGATTTTTCCAGGCTGGCATGATTGCAAATTAGTTCTCTCTCTCTCTTTAAAAATAAATTTTATTCAATTTTCAAAAAATATTGTTTACCATATAATTTTAAAAAGCCCAACCTCTTAAACCCCTGTGGTAGCTTTTGTGCCAGTAGAAGAGAATATGTGTAGCTGAGGGTTGAAGTGTGGGGTCGTTGGTCCGTCCTTCCTTCCTTCCCTTCCCTTCCTTCCTTCCTTCCTTCCTTCCTTCCTTTCCTTCCTTTCCTTACTTCTTTCTTCCTTCTTTCTTTCCCTTCCTTCCTTTCCCTTCCTTTCTTCCTTCCTGTCCTTCCTTCCTTCTTTCCTTTCCCTTCCTTTCTTTCTTCCTTCTTTCCTTTCTCTTCCTTCCTTTCCCTTCCTTCCTTCTTTCCCTCACTTACTTACTTTCTTTCTTTCTTTCTTTCTTTCTTTCTTTCTTTCTTTCTTTCTTTCTTTCTTTCTTTCTTTCTTTCTTTCTTTCTTTCTTTCCCTTCCCTTCCCTTCCCTTCCCTTCCTTTTTTTCTTCCTTCTTTCCTTTCTCTTCCTTCCTTCCTTCCCTTCCCTTCCTTTCTTTCTTCCTTCTTTCCCTTCCCTTCCTTCTTTCCCTTCCCTTCCTTCTTTCTTTCTTTCCCTTCCCTTCCCTTCCCTTCCCTTCCTTTCTTCCTTCCTTTCCCTTCCTTCCTTCCTTCCTTCCTTCCTTCCTTCCTTCCTTCCTTCCTTCCTTCCTTCCTTCCCCTTCCCTTCTTCCTTTCTTCCTTTCCCTTCCCTTCACTTCCTTCCTTCCTTCGTTCCTTCATTTCTCTTCCTTCGTTCTTTCCTTTCCCTTCCCTTCCCTTCCTTTCTTCTTTCCTTTCCTTCTTTCTTTCCTTTCCTTCCTGCCTGCCTGCCATGTTGACCCAACGGTCGAGAATGCAATAGTCTCAGGCTAACTCTGCCCACTGCCAGCAGTTCGATCTTGACTGGCTCAAGGCTCCTTCCGAGGTGGGTAAAATGAGGGCCCAGATTGTTGGGGGCAAATAGGTTGACTCTGTAACCCGCTAAGAGATGTCCGTAAAGCGGTATATAAGTCCGAGGGCTATTGCTATATCAGACTGAGCCTCTTTTATTAACATGGGAACAGCATTTTCTAGCCATTGGGTTTTTTTTTTCATTTTCTTTTCCTTTTCCGCAAGATGCTTTCCAACCAGAAAGGCATGGATGCTCTTTGGGCTCCGCATAATTAAACCATTCGTTATTTTTTTCCCCCTTCTCAATTCAGAGACAAAGCAAATTATCCCTTGGAGAAGATCTTGTGTATTTCTGAATTAGTTCTAGCTCTTTGTTGGCTTCTCTCATTGAACAGGCATGCTCAGATTACTTACGCCTGTGAAGACAGAGGAGCCTGTCTCTCAGTGGATGAATAGGCATATTTTCATAGAACAGCACAGCTGGAAGGGTCCTTAGAGGTCCTCTAGTCCAGCCCCTTGCTCCAGCAAGTACAGTTGAAATTTTGCCTTATGGATTACCTTTATCTGCTGCCTGCCTTGTGGGGTAACGTAAATATAAGGGTGGAAGGATCTGCACAGGCAGGAAATGCTATGTACCGTACCAGAGAAATGGCTGTCCAGTCTCTTCTTCTTTTTTTTAAAAAAATATTTTTATTAATGAACAACAAACAGAAAAAGAAACATTAAAAACGACGAACGTGGCGCATACATAACAAAAAATACAGATTTACATATGTACATAAACATGAATCATCTTTGCTAAAGTTACTCCTTTCTTTTTTTTAAACCAGCGGTAAAACTTTCCCCAAATTCTGTAATAATCAGATTGAGTCTTATCTTTTAATTCTTGAGTTATTCTATCCATTTCAGCGCACGACCAAATTTTTTTAATTATTTCCATCTCTTCTGGCATATCACTTCCTGTCCATCTTTGGGCAAGAGCTGGTCTGGCGGCAGTGGTGACATGGATGATTAAATATATTATCCCTTTCTTATATTTCCCCATCTTGATTTCCAATCAGAAAATTTCAGGTCTGAACTCTTATTTTAATTTTACACATCTCTTCTCACCAGTTTCTGATTTTCAGCCAAATATATTTGGGCTTTTTCACATTTCCACCATACATGGGAATATGTTCCAATTTCTTTATTGCATTTCCAGCGTTTAGGAGATAATTTCGGATACATTTTTTGCTAGTTTTGATGGTGGGATGCGCCATCGATAAAACATTTTTAGTAAATTTTCTTTATATGATACCGCCAGGGTAATTTTCCTATTCTTGTCCCATAAAATTTGCCAGTCTTCCAGATTTATACCGTATCCAAAATCTTTCATCCAGGCCAGCATCGTTTCTTTCACCTTCTTCCAATTTACATTTCAACAGTATGTCCAGTCTCTTCTTGAAAACCTCCAGTGCTAAGAGCACCCACAAGTTCCGGTGGCAAGTAGTTCCGCTGGTTAATTGTTCTCACTCTCAGGAATTCTCTCCTTATTTCCAGGTTGGTTCTCTCCTTGGTTAGTTTCCATCTGTCGCTTCTTTGTCCTGGCTTCAGGGGCTTCGGAGGAGAGGTTAGAATATAGAATAGAATGGTAGAGTTGGAAGGGACCTTAGAGGTCTTCTAGTCCAACCCCCTGCACAGGCAGGAAACCCGCTAGCATTTCAGACAAACGGCTCTCCAATCTCTTCTTAAAGGCCTCCAGTGGTGGAGCAACCACAACTACGGAAGGCAAGCTGGTCATAAGTCACTTTTTTCAGTATCGTCGTCGCTTTGAGGGGTCACTAAGTGAACTGTCCTAAGTTGAGAACCACCTGTAAACAGCAGAAAGGATTACCTTTAGGTCAGGGGAGAAAACAGCAGCTCACTGCCACAGCGCATCTTCAGAAGTCAAATTAGTTGAGATTTGGACGGGGTACCACCAGGAGATCACAAAGTTGTAGGTTGAGGAAACTAATCAGGGCAAATTGGTTGGGGTTTTTTTGGCCGTGAAAGTGGTGCCTATAGGCCAACAAATCTCCTTTAACTCTGAAGCAGAATTTAAGTGCAGCTATTCCTGACATTATAGGTAGTCCTCAACTTATGGTTCCAATTGAGCCCAAAATTACCATTGCTAAACAAGATAGTTGTTAAGTGAGGTTGGCCCCATGTTATGGCTATTTTTTGCCACTGTTGTTAAGCGAGTCACTGCAGTAGTTCAGTGAGTCATGAGGCCGATAAACAAACCTGGATTCCCCCCGGGGACACTGCGATCGTCATAAATAGAAACCAGTTGCCAAGCATTCAAATTTTTATCACTGGGGGTGCTGTAATGGTCATAAGTGTGAAAACTGGTCATCAGTCCGCTTTTTCAGTTCCACTGTAACTTCAGTCACTAAAGAAATGGTTGTAAGTCAAGGACTACCTCGTCCCAAAGGCGCTTTTTCAACTGGACTTCCTTGTTTTTTGTTTTGAAGACATTTCACTTCTTGTCCAAGAAGCTTCTTCAGCTCTGGATGGTGGGGGAATGGGAGGATTTATATTCCTTGCAGACAAGCTGGTCATTTGCATCCTTTTAGAGGGTTGTTGAGACCACTTGGAGGTTTATCTGTGTCCTCAGGGCCACCTGAGTGGTGCAAATCGTTCGTGGTAATCTGCAATTTTTTTTCCCCTCTGACAATCCATCCTTTACTCAGGTGTCCCCGAGGACACAGGTAAACCTCCAGGTGGCCTCAACAGACCTCTAAAAGGATGCAAATGACCAGCTGTCCGCAAGGAGTATCAATCCTTCCATCCTCCACTGTCCTGTCAGAACTGAAGAAGCTTCTCAGATGAGAAGCGAAACGTCTTCAAAAGAAGAAAAAAACAAGAAAGTCCAGGCGCCTCCTGAAAAAAAGCACCTTTAGGACAACTGTGACCTGGAGGACTGAGAATCTTTACAGAATCAAGGGCTACTCAGAAAGCTCAAACTGCCCAAGGAGCTGCCAATCCAGTTCTACAGAGGAATGATGGAGTCTGTCATCTGCACCTCTATCAATGTCTGGTTTGGTTCTGCAATCCAACAGGACGGACACAGATACTCCAGAGAGTAATTAGGACTGCAGAAAAAAACAATTACTACCAACCTGCTTTCAATCGAGGACCTGTATCCTGCCCGAGTCAAAAAGAGGCCTGTGAAAATATTTACATCCTGGACATAAACTGCTTCAACTCTCCTTCCCTCGAAACGACGCTATAGAGCCCTGCACACCAGAACAACTAGACACAAGGGGAGTTTTTTCCCCCCATACCATCACTCTGCTAAACAAATAATTCCCTGAATACTGTCCAACTATTACAAAGTCTGCACTACTATTACTCTTAATCTTCTCATCACTCCTTATCACCCATCCCCTCCCACTTGTGACTGTATGACTGTAACTTTGTCGCTTGTATCCTTATGATTTATATTTCCTAGTAGGATTTGATTATATTGTACTCTATGACTTTTATTAATTGTACCTGATGATTCTTGTCTCTTGACAAATGTATCTTTTATGTATACTGAGAGGTTATGCACCAAAGACAAATTCCTTGTGTGTCCAATCACACTTGGCCAATAAAGAATTCTATTCTATTCTATTCTATTCTATTCTATTCTATTCTATTCTAT